AGTCTATAAAAAGAGTCCGATATGAGAAATGAAGTAACAACGTATCTTTAATAACTAGCATATATAATGAGCATTGATATTTTTGTTTCTTAACCGGTGGTTGTAGCGTAAGCGGCACACTAATGAAAAAAAAATAAAAAATCCGCTCCAAGACCGAACCCATTTCTCTGAGAATATACAATCAATATTATTTATTTTATTGACCAGGTATCTAAATTCACACATATACGCTCCATCTTCTACCACTCCGTTTTGTATTTTAAGCGTAAGCTATATAGAAACCCAGCTAAAAACAAGCAGCTTGCTAACAGGACGGCGAAGTTAGAGAAAGCCCGACCAGATCGGCAGAAACCGCCTTCCCACACCGGATTAAATAGCTACAATCACATATCAAAATAACGCTAACTATTATCTTTACATTACTTTAAAGATATCTGATGTAAGAAGGTGTGTCTAACTTACCCAAGTATGGAATTAGTACGTCCGGAATAGAGCAGGGATCCGAACAGTCAGCAGCGTCCACAGCAGGCGGCTCCATTTTTTATGCTAGAGGGGCGACGTGCCTTTCGTTGATGATATGCTCGGCGCGTCACGCACATTGATTCTACAAGTGTGATTCCTGTATTATATTAAAGCTAACAAATTAATCTTTATTTTGATTCCCAGTTTGTCAGGTTTATTTTTTATAATTCGTTCGCTATTTGACGAAGTTTTGATACTTTTATGATTTACAAAAAAAACTAAAAAAATAATCCTTGCCAAACCGGGTATGTAGAGAAAGCCTATAGTTTAAGGTTTAATATGATATCACTGTTGACTCATTTGGTCATATGTTCGTGACGCGCCAACTGATTTTCTTGAACTATGTGTCAGGAGGGGCGTTCGAATTAGCATAAATAATGCGGCTTTTCGAAAAAATTATGAAAATTACTGGGAAATTTAAAGTGTTTAATTTGCTTCAACATACATAAAACTGGTATCATTGGAAAGGAAAATCAATGAACTTTAACACAGTAGTGTTGCTTTTGGAAAAAAAATATTCTAAAAAGGACTTTTTATGGTGGGACGTTAGGGCATTTTCTATGATCAGCGCGCGTTCTCTCCCATTCCTGAGTGGAAAGAGCGTCGCTGCCGGTACCTACCTCTAGGGCTTCATAGCGAGTCCTGTTGGTCTCCGGGCTGACCTCTAAGACTCATAGCGACTCCTGTTGCTGTACGCGATGACCTCTAGGGCTCATAGCGACTCCTGTTGGTCCCCGGGATGACCTCTAGGGTTCATAGCGAGTCCTGTTGGCTCACGGGCTGACCTCTAGGGCTTCATAGCGAGTCCTATTGGTCTATGGGCTGACCTCTAGGGCTCATAGCGAGTCCTGTTGGTCTACGGGCTGAACTCTAAGGCTCATCGTGAGTCCTGTTGGTCTTCGGGCTGACCTCTAGGGCTCATAGCGAGTCCTGTTGTTCCCCGGGCTGACCTCTAGGGCTTCATAGCGAGTCCTGTTGTTCCCCGGGCTGACCTCTAG